AGCTTTTATCAAATTTCTGTAAGATTTAAATTGTATTTAGTCTTTCAGAGTAAAACAGTTTCTAATAAAATGTTTAGTGCTTTTTCTATCCATAATATTAATCCATTGAATTGACAGAGCAGCTAATTGTTGGTTTATTGGATGATATGCTGAAGTATTTTTGGATAAAAAGACAAATTATTGGGGTAGTGCTCAATATTATTTATTAAAGTCTGACTCTAAGGATTTAAAATTATGTTTAATGCAAAACTGTTCATAATTATTTGTTTATTCTTAATGCACCTTTTTCCTCCTTGTTTGCACCTTCTTTGACTTCTATGCCAACATGTGACGAGTGAATTTCTCCGCTGTGAGATCAATAAAACTCATCTAATCTAATCTAATCTATAAAAAACTCCGTTGGTATCCATTAAATCTGCTATGGACCGTATATTTCTCCCATAAAAGTCTTCATAGATCAGAGATTTGCTGCGGTGCAGATCATATAGGTATACGGTATATAGGTGTGTGAGGTGAGAAGTTCTGCACTGATAACATTTTCCAGAAAAGGAGGATTTGTCCGTGAAACTCTGACTTTTATTGGCAGTTTGTCTACATTAAAGTTCTCTCTCGTCCTTGGAATAGAAAACTAAAATGATTCGCTGTGTTTGATCCAAGATTTTAACCAATTTATTTTTATGCTCCCATTTAGGCAGAAAAATCAATAACTTTGAGACCTCCATCCTTTGCCTCTTTAACCAAACTGCTTCTCTTCATATAAAGTCATCTGTTTCTCCAAATTAAATATAAATTGATTTGTTTGATAGATTGAATTAATCTGTTTGGGATAACATTGGAATATGCCAGGTAGATAGATCTAGATAAGCATTTCATCTTAGTTAGGTAGATCCATCTGTCACACGCTTCTCAGGAGGCCAAACAGTCTTGGAGGCGGGACCCAAACTGGTTGAAAGAAGAAACTGCTCTGAAGAGTTTTCAGCTGACAAAACTTTAATTTCTTCTGGTGCATCAACCAGACCGCACCAACCAACAGAACAATGGCAGACATGTTTCTTAAATAGAGGAGGAACTAAATTGGAAGAAACCATTTTTAAAAGGCTGTTCAGCTTCAAAATGAGAAGAAAAGGAAAATTTGGTTTAAACAAACAACTAATTAAGAAATACTTTTACCAATAAAAACAGAAACAAATATTTTTAATTAAATCCAAACAAAAACTTAAACTCAATATAGAAAACACCATAGATCAGATCAACCTCCCCCCTTCAATTATCCAATGGTACGGTCCTGTACACACCTGCTTAGTATTTCACTATATTTTAACTCCTTAATCCATGAAATGCCTTTTTATGAAGAGTTAAACAAAAACAAAATATTGTAAAGTGAAATCAATTTACCTTTTTACTAAAAAACAAGATGTGTTCAACCAAAGAACCACAACCAAACAAATCCACTTCACCCAAACCAATGTAGAAAACCAGATGCTGTGTTTAGCTGCTGCTTTGGCTAATATAACAATGGCTCATTGTTACACCATCCTAGTGTTGATAAATCTCTCTGTAGCCAGAAGTTTAGTCATGACTTGCATTCTTTTATTTTATTTTCTACATTCAGAGGTTGGCTTCGTTTTTGGTCTCTGGATAAGTGGATCCCCAGATATTTAATAGGAATATTACAGTCTTACATCCAATAAGTCAGGGTTTCATTGACATGGCCGGTTGTTCAGGTGTGAACGTCCTGGTTTGGTGCAGGAAGAGTTTTCCATCCATCCTGTGATGACATCAGAGGTTTGACTAGTCATGTTATGAGAAGAGCCGAGGCTTCGAGGCGTGTGTCGAGTAATGGAGGGAGCGTTTCCCCGAAGCGCGTGTCGAGGCGAAATTGATGACGTCCGAGGCCTCGTTACCGTGAAACCACATGACCGCTTCTGAAAGTGGTTCAGTGGTTCAGAATGCGCCAGAATTTTGAAAGGCATCTAAACAGCCTCAGTGTTCAGTCAAGATGTGGGAGTTTGGAGGAGAGCTGCTGGCAGCTGGATAAACTATGGATAGATTCTAATAATAGATTGGTTGCACACCAACCATTAATAATTTCAAGGGAACTTAAAATGGGAAAAAAAGAAAAACAGTTGCAAAAAAAAAACCCATATATTTTATTACAAACTGTAGTTCTGCTGTCCACCAGTAGGTGGTGACATGTTGACATGAAGCCTCATGAACTGTGGGGATCGTTGAAGCAATTTGGCCAAACGGTTCAATGAGGCTTCATCTCACCATCACTAGATTTGACTAATAATCGTGAGCAGTTCTAGTGCGAGATGGTGAGAACAGTGAGGGAAAGAGAGCATAGGGTGGAGATGGATCTCCTGGAGAGGAGTCAGTAGATCCGAACCATCGTCTGAGGGGTGACCCTTCACCTTTCACTCCTCCTGGTGCTCCATGATTAGTTGGCCAGGTGGGTGACGGGGGTGGGCCAAATGATATTCAGTTAAAGGTGAAACTTTACAGAAATAAAGTTCCTTTATGAGGAACCGTCGGTGTTGTTAGTGTGAACAAAAAAACTACCCGAGCTGTTTGGTGCCATTTAAAGTCTCAGTGGGCTTGTTACCTTTATTATCATATTGTGAGACGTCTCCTCTTCTTTCCACAATAATTTGGGTTTAGTTTGCTTCTTCTTTAAGGCTTTCCTGACAATACCAGACGCTTCAAAAATGTCTAAATAAGGCGCCAAAAAACGAGTGAGACACTAAGGTTGGTTCCCAAAGAGCAGGTGGATAAAAGACGCCATCAACCCCAACATGGTGGAGCCTAAATGAGGCTTCATTCTTCATTTCTCTGCTGCTGTTGTGTTTTCAGGCACCTGGACAGACACAGCCTGTGGGAGGGACGAGGATTCGCTGTCCGCTGCTTTCAGATCATCATGTTCTCCATTCAGGTGTGGAAATACACTAAGATGACATCAGTTCTTCTCTGCCTTGTGTTTCTGCTCAGTGACTAACGCTTCCCATCAGTCCCAGCACTCCCATCTGGTCATCCAGCAGCTGCTGGGTCACCTGGATGCCAACAGCAGGAGTCCAGCTTCAGTGAGAGCCGGGATCGTGGAGGTTCTGTCTGAGGCTGCGGCCATAGAGGTCACGGGATCAGTAGGTCAGAGAGGAAACCTGATGAGTCAGAAGCTCCGCCCCCAGAAACCCCATCCACTCAGAAACGTCTCCGCCGTGTGCCTCAGGTCCCACCGTGTTGGAGGTGTTCAACACTTTACTGCGACAACTCAGGCAGAGCGTCGACTACCAGCTGACGGGTTACTATGACAACGCCGGCAAACACAAAACCACGTCGGTTCACGAGAAAACCCTGCAGGACGCCGTCATCAGAACCATCGGTCAGGCTCCTCCCACTGATCTCTGCTGCCACTTGATTGCTTGAACTGATGGCTGTCCTCCAATCCTCCTGCAGGGTCCTTCGCCAACACACTTCCTGTCTACCAGAGGTCAGAGGTCATGCTGTTCATCATGGGTAGAATTCCTGTTCCTGGCATCTATCCCGCCCTGGGCTCGCCGAACGCGGGGTAACGTTCCCACCTGGTCACACAGAGAGATGCCCAACAAGCTGCTGACATGATGATGATGATGATGATGATGATGATCCGTCCGTTTCAGGTTTGAAGGCAGCAGGATGATCCAGGTGATGCTGCTGAAGTCTCTGCTGCAGGTGAGACATCAGACTCACAGAAATCTTCCCATAGATCCTGATATGGTTCCAGTTTGATTGACTGGAAAAGAGATTGAACTAATAGATTCTGCAGAGTGGGAGAATAGAGATAGAATGATGAAAAAGGGGTCCCTATGTCCTCCAGCAGTCTAAGCCTATAGCAGCA